GTGTTGCTCTAATGCTCTGTAAAACTACTGTTTGTTTTTTTTCTTCTACTTTCCAATTATAAGAACGTCAGGTGGGAGATGCCAGCTGTGTCTGCATTTTAGCATTCACATTAACTGTGTTTCCTGCACTCAGTCAGCAAGGAAAACTTCCGCATGTTTGATTGAATATACTGTTGGACCACATTTTAATCCATCAGGTGTCACCTACTATAACAGTACTAACCTGCTTCAGGTAACACGATCTCAATCACAGGTCAAGTAATAGAACCAAAACCCAAGTTTTCACAATCTTGTGGCTGGGTAAGCGAATGTAAAGCTGCTTCATTTTGGGGAGGAAAAGCAATTGTAAATAAGAGGAAACAGTATAGCTAATTAAAATCAGAAGACTTAATTTCATGACTCTTGTTTTCTTAGGTTCAGAACTGGAACAGTGAGATTCTTGCTAAACAGAAACCACTGGTTGCCAAACCTTCAGCAAAGCTGCATTTTGTAAATCGACTAAAAGGCAAAAAGTACAAAAACGGCACCGCTTCCAAAGTTTTGCAGGATGCCAGTAATTCTATTGATCATCGACTTCCAAACTCGCAGAGGGTAGGTTTGGCGAGCTGTGGAGATCATAGCCTGTCCTAATCTTTGTCTGATCAAAACTCTGGCCTGCAGCTCTCCATTTCAGCTGTACTTGTTTATTGATTTAAACACCATGGTTCTGTAAAACAATGCAGCATCTGCCATTCTACAGCTCTCATGGGTGATGCCAGCTTTAAACTTTTCCTACTATTGGAATGTTCTTTTTCTAGTGGGTTTCCTGAAGTTACAGCTCATTACACATACATTTTACGTGTAGTCTCTTCTAGACCCTGCTTCTCCAAACTTAACAAAAGCTAGATTTTCTGATTCAGGCAGCGGGAGACATTTTTGACAAATATTTTTTAGGTCATTGCACTCTTGACAGAAGTCAGTTAAAAATAACTGAGTCATTGGACCTAGATGAGAGACTATGCTTTTGACCATACACCTGAGGAGACAATGGAAACTGTTCATTGCTGTTCTTGTTTTTTGCTTTCAGGGACATTTGGGTTCTTGGTGGATTTGTGGCTGAGGAGGAGTAACTCCAGTTGTACTACTCAAGAGTACTGTTTCTTTCTGTTTCAGAGAATTAAACATTTCTAACAGTATTACCTTCCAAAAATGCTTGCCATGTTATTAGCATTTCCTCCCAGGATAAATCTCTGTCTACAGAAATGGATGACTACAAAAATTCATTTAATGGATTTAAGATCTGCAAATATCAAACATATTACTGGAATGACACTGTGATGCAGTTGTCCTAGTTTTAGGCACTCTTGAGTTCAAAATACCCCTAACTCTTCTCTCCTTTTCAGAAAAACAGTCGAGAGACAATGGCAGATGAAGGGTTCTTCGATCTGCTGAGTCGATTCCAGAGTAACAGGATGGATGATCAGAGATGCTACTTCCAGGAGAAGAACAGGTTCTCAGCTGCTTCAGTAGCAACATCCTCTACTCCACCTAAAACAATAAGAAAATGTAATTTTTTAAAAGTAAAATCCATATCTGACCTTAGTTCCTGCCAAATACTACTTTAAAAATGTATTTGCATGCAAGACAAGAAGGGAACTTATTTCCAGGCTAACTCGTTTTCTTCCTCCTCCGCAGCCTTTTCTACTTCTGTCGTCTCACCCCACACCGATGAATTTCTGGACCTACTTGCCAGCTCACAGAGCCGCCGGCTGGACGACCAACGCGCCAGCTTTAGCAATCTACCTGGACTTCGTCTTAATCAGCGCAACAGTCAGTCAGTACTGGGCCACCTCATGGCCAGTAACAACAGGGAACTAGATGACGACTTCTTTGACATATTGATAAAATGCCAGGTAAGTTTTTCTTACAAAAATTATTCATGTTCTGAGCCTTTGGGGATTTGAGTTGCGCATCCTGCTATTTAGTTTCTTGAAGTAAGCCACCATGTTTATCATGGGTTTTAAAATACAAATTGGTTTGGCAGATAACATAGAGAACAAAAAAATAGAGGTGGTTTGGGGTTTTTTACAATTTGTTTTGTTTTGATTGTTTTTTTTTTCCCTTCAAAATACCCAGTGTCTGCTAAGGGGAATTTTGCCATTTTTACCATGTTAACCATTTAAAGTAACAAATGCTGAAAAGGTGAAGGAAAACAAGTGAGGCTATAAGGAGGAGTATGTGAAATGATTTGAAGAAAAAGTGTTTAGATCTGGCTTGTTAGGAGGTCACCCGACACACCAGGAATCCTAATTTACCAGATGAAAGAATTCAGTATCAAAGTTTTATCATTCCGGTTATGTTAAGTTTGAATAACAGTTCATGGCAATATACAAGTGAGGTGTCTGACTGTCAGTTACAGCGTGGCACATATACCAATTAGAGCAAAGAGAATTTAATTATCAAGACTTTGTGTTTTACCTGATGGGTTGATAAGCATCTCAAAATACAATTTTTCTGTTGTACAAGACTAGAAATACCATGTACTAACGCTAAAATTCTTCTGGACAAAGGACACTTAAATCTCATTCTGCAATAGGAGGAAGAACTACTGATCTGAGGTTTTTATTTTCAGATACATGTGCACAGGTGGTTCACAGGAACCATTTTGGCTGCCCTTGCGCTTTTAACTTCCTAATTTAATTGGAGAAGTTTAACTTGAAACAAAACTTACCAATTAAATCCTTGTAATAGCTTTAAATTGGAAAACAAAAGCTTTTAGTAATTTTTCACTTGTATTGTTCACTCATTTTATTTTATATATCTATATTAATATTCTTGTAAATATGCAGCTTTATTGCTTGGTCTGTCTGTAGGGTTCCAGACTGGATGATCAAAGATGTGCTCCTCCATCATCTGCAAAAGGACCAACTGTACCAGATGAGGACTTTTTCAGCCTGATTTTACGATCACAAGCTAAGAGAATGGATGAACAGAGAGTCCATTTACCCTCGACTATAAAGGCACCAAACACTAGCTGAAGAAACAGACCGAGCCATACTGTACAGTAGCATCTTAGGAATCATTTCTGTTTGCTGGAAAAACATACATGCCTTTTTACGGAAGACTGCAATTAGGAGTTTTGTCCCCTTTCTAATAATTTTTTTGTATAAATAGCAGCACACCCAATGACCAGTAGCTAGAGTTGCTGCTGCTCTTTGCAGTTGGCAGCTGCTTTTAGCAGGGTCTGAGATACCAATTGCTCTATCTCCCTCTTAACTGCCTCTAGTCTATGAACATTAATATGAATTTTTTTCCCTGTCAAGGTATTCCTGTTGCTGATGTGTGGATTCTACCACTGTCTCTGTCTAGTGCAAGACCTAAATTTCTATGTTCTTTTTAAAGAAAACTTGATTTTTTTTTTTTTTTCTGCTTTGTACCTCCCTGGAAAAAGTCCTGTTTTCTTTTGTACTTTTTTTAAAAATTAAAAAAAAATATTGAGAAATAGCCTCAGTACTTAGTCTGTCTTTGTTTCTGCATTCATTTTGTTTAATAAAATGAAGCCCTAATTTTAATTCTGTTTAATACAAAAATAGTCTTTTCAAAACATACTGGGCTTTTTTTGTAACATCTAGTCAAGTGTTTCCTGTATTACTCCTCACAGTTTCACAATAAGAATAATTTTTTAAGAAGATATACTTCAGTAACAGCTGCCAGTGCTGTTACAGAGGTTGGTGGTACATGCCCACCACCAGCAGTAGCCCATGCACCAAGGAATCACAGAGGTGGCAGATGCTTGGCATGGACTGCCATGGACACCAGGTAATTCCTGCAGTGAGTGAATTTAAAACGTTACCTACATCTCCTGTTTCTATGCTGCTTATTACTCGACCTCCACTACTATTTCTCTTGATAAGGACGAGCTATGCTGGGGTAGTTCTTGGAAACAACCATTGTAACTTAGTACAGGTATCTACTGAGGGGATGACTGAGGCGGTTCCTGGGAAGCCTGAGGGCTGTATGTTGGTTTAAGTGTAGGTATCTTGAGTTGGAAGTCACTGATCGTACCACCAAAGGTGGCAAACTGTTCACTTTGGGTATTTACAAGTGAAGCGATGTCAATTTTTACGGAAGTAGTATACCCCTAGAGAAGAAGCTATGGTTAACTTTAGCTTCACGTAAACCAGCATTAGAATAGTTAAACAGACACAGGCTCCACATAACTAAACTATTTTACAGTCAGGGAAAGTTTTATAATAATTCTCTTCCAGCTTTTTAGCAATGAAAATTGATCTCTACCAAAACTGTCCCCTTTCTGCTTTTAAGGAAAAATGACCAAATATTCTTCCAAAAACGTGTGTTACCATCAGTTTATCATGCTAACCTTCAGTACTTTCACTTACTGCTTCCTATTCCCTGTTTGGCTTTGAATCACCCTAAAAAAAATAAATGTGATACATCGGCTTCTCACGCCTCTGCAAATGACTGAACTAGAAGAAAATCATGCAGCTGTCCTAGGACGGAGCTGACGGGCAGCAGTTCTATTTACTTAAGGCTGATTTTAAAGAACATAACCCAAAGGTAGTCCTGAGACTTCCAGCTGAGCCGCAGTTGTCGTAGGTGTGTTCAGTGAATATCGGCAACTTTCTTCAGGCTGCTTGACAGTTACCTGGTGAGCCTTGTTCACAGAGCAGCAGTGCTTTCCCACCATGGAATATCTAGCTTGACTCAAAACTCACTACACAAACTTGATTTCAAACAAGCAGGCCTGTTTTCTTAGCCAATTAAAGTTGTGTTATCTTACTTAACACATTTATTTCAAATTCCAGAAATAGTATGTATATTCACAGCCTCTCAGTTTTTAACCCCCCACCTTACAGCTACGCATACTACTGCTCTGACCAAAGACTAGTTCCCATCAGCTTACTGATGTTCTCTTTTCTACATTGGAGAACTAGAGCAGAACTAGCAAGTATGTGACAACTAAAGATGAGACAAAACTTACATCAGAGCTTGAGGCTTCCTTAGTCTCCTTCCTGTGAGTCACACGAACTGCTCCTCTTCTTCTCTTCACATGGTTCTACTGGAGAACTTTTCCCTTCTAGGTTTTTATTGGGATCATAGTTTTCTCCAGTCTCTCGCTCTGCTTTGCCTGTCTCCTGTTTCTGCGGCTCAAGTGCATGTTCTTCAGTAAGGTTTTCAGCTGTGATAGTTTCTAGTCTATAAACTCCAGACTCAGTGTGCAATCTATTCTGTAAAAATTAATAATAAGCTATTAATCAAGCAATCCAAAGTGACAGCATCTGTTGCTTCAGGTGCATCTCATCTCAAGGGGCAGAACTTCCCCAAAGCATGATCCGTATCTTTTTTCCTGGGGAAACAGTACATGTAAATAAGCACAAGCTAGAGTACAAGTCTGGTTTTAATTTTCTATAGTTTACAGAAAAATCAGCACTGGTTTTTTCCCTGCCTTGCTTCTGCGGGTAATTATTTCCCAGGCTGATGTGAGTGCTGATCTCTCAAAACAGAAGTCATTCAAGTCTTTACAATGAGTTTTAATATCGTAGTTCCCTGCCACAGTTAGTCATGGCACAGTATTTTTTCAGAACAAAACATGTCCAAGACACCTCTACCAAACTGTTCTACAGGGAAGCAGGTACTTCCTTAACTCCTCTCTCCCCAGGATTTGGGTTAAGCTTGTTTAAATGTGTTTTAGCAGATGACAGGGAAATCTATTAAAAAAGAGCACCAGGACTAACATACACCAGGTTCTGGTTTGTGAGACTCTTCTACTTGCTTATCTGGCCCATCACTTGTATGCACGATGTCAGGACTTGTGCTGCCATTTCTTGGTCTCACAGGAGCATCTCCTCTGTCATGAGGTCCTCCATAGTAAGGAAGCTTCTTCGAGTAATGGCCATCTGATTTACTCCCATCATATTGCCCAAAGTCTATTTTCTCCTGCTGACTGTCAGGTGGAGGAAGACTTCTCTTCTGAAAAGATGTTAAGTATCTTAACATAGACACTGATGATCCTGCACCATAGCAGAAAGCCTGGGGAAGGCAAAAAAAAAGAAAAGAACAAAACACCAAATACTTGCAGCCTGTGGTTTTCACACAGAGTTCCAAGTCCTTTATCTGAACACCACTGAAAGAAACGCTCAGGTGATCAGAACGGCTACAGTAAAATTCAAGCTTTCTGCAGGCTGCCCACACTGCAGGACCTGCCAGACTGGATGCAGTCCATCTTTGGTGCAGGCTCTAACTCCATGCTTTTGTATACAAAATGCCAATGATATGCATGGCTATGTAATGACACAAAGAAGAAAGCGGAACTAAGCTCCAATAAACTGTCCTAGAGTCTAAGATCCCAAGCAGTTTAATGCTATTTTATCCCACTTGGGGAGTGGGGGAGAGATGTGCTTTAAATACAAACTTATCTATTTTAATTGCTAAACCAACTATACTGTAAAGGTTTTGTCAAGAAAACACTCCCTTCTAGAAATGATTTCATGTGTGCTAAGAAATTTGTTCAGTAGCACAAACAAGAGATAAATAATATAATAGATAATATTTAAATATAAGTAAGTTCAATATATATAAAAGATAAAACGGAACTTTTAAATATAAGATAAAGGTATACAAACCAGGACAGCCAGAGCCATCATAATTAGCACCGGAACCTGCAGAATAAATGGTATCTCCTTCATGAGTGCCTTGATGAATTCACCAATACCTTGTCCCACGTGCTTCAAAGGCTCAGTTACAAAGTTAGTGAAAGTAATTGCTAATGCCTAGAAAAACACAAACAAACAGAAAAACAGCATTGTCACCGATGACAAATGCAAGCATCAACAGTCTCTTCAGGCTTGGCATGTACCTTTGTCGGTGGAACCAGCAAAACAGGATTTACTAGTAGAGTTTCATAGTACTTCTGACAGGGATCGTCCTGAAACGTCCATTTACTTCTGAGCCATTCTGTAGTCAAAGCAGAGACGTATTTTTACTACTTTTTAAAAACACATTTTATGACTCAGTAGTAATACAGCAAGTAGCATTTCAATTACAGATGGAAGAGAACTCTAGATATGGCTGAAAGCTCAGATTCATTTTTAAAAATCTGAGATTAGCTTGGCAGTGCAGTTTATCCAGTCATGGGGATGCAAGAAAGAGAAGGAAGGCTGGAAAGAAAGAGAAGAAACTGAGCTTTTCCCATGTTTAGTCAACAAAGTTTTCTTTCATTAGATGAACTTAGTCCCTAGAAGCCTCGGAAGACAAATAAGTGTCATCTGTGGGAACTATTATCTAGCACATTTTGTCCACAGCTACTGGAACAGAAGTAATTGAGTGTTATTACTCACCTGCCAGGCTGCAAGTAGATTAAAAAAAAATATGTATTGTGCTTGCTAGATTTCAAGGGACTATTTTAGTTATAAGCAGAAAGTCTTACTCCTTAAGGGAAATTTTAAGTTCTATACAAGTAATTTATGATGTCAGTGTTTCTGTAGTTTAGATTTTAGTGCAGTCAGAACATAAACCATTGACATCTGACGCAAACAGAGCAATCACAGTCAATAAATTATAAAGGGAAGACCGTAACAAGCACTCATGCAGAGTTGTCATTATTAAGCTACCTGCTATAGCACTGGATAACAAATAATAGCTAATAAACCCCCAGCTTCCTCTGTAAAATAAAAACACTACAGAACATAGTTACAGATCTACTTGCTGAAGTCCATTGTACTCGCAGGCCTGGCAGATGAAAAAAATAAAATTCTTCTTGAATTCTGCCCTCCTGTCTTCAATACATGGCACTGGATGGCACCGGGGCAGGGGAGCCAGGGAAGCACTCACGGGGTAAGTTACAAGGAAAAGAAGTAACACCACAATATGCTCCAAGCGGAGTTTGTGATCAGCTCTCCTCCAAAGGCTGAGAAAAGAAAGTCTTGTGAAATGGAAAAATGGTAGCACCACATAATTATGTATTGCTGACGAGAACTCCAGGTACTGCTCATGAAGAAATCGGAGCCTTCTTGGATACTACTGCAGAACATTTTCTGATTTTAAATACTATTAATAAAACAATGAAACAAGTATTTACCAATAAGACTTTCCCTCCAGTCCAACTTCTCAGCACAGATGTTATCAAACTGCCCCATTTTCGCGATTTCTGCTTGATGCTGTGCGAAGGCCAGCTGCAGGAGAACAGGAATTACTTGTAGAACATGAACAAGGTGGTGCTGGGCGCAGAACACCTGTCCATGCAGCACTGCACCTGAGCTCTTAGCAGCTTTGAGATAATTACCCAGCTAAATCTGTATTAAGAAAAGTTTGCCACCTAAACAGTCTAACAGAGTGAAATCCTACGTAATTCGTGGGAATGGATAGAAACTACCACAATGGCCACCTCCGCGTTATTCTCCAACTCGGAATTACCAAAAGAAGAAACTCCAGTATTCAAAGATAGAAGTTCACAGCAAAAGTAAACTGATGACACCTTGTTTCCTTAAAACATTTCCGGATTAAAAACAGAGACAGCTACCATGCAATTACTAATTAGAACATCAGGACATTCTCCTTTGTTTTTTTAAATAATTCCCATTAACAAATACTTGTATTGATTATAATTTTGCCTTACAGTTTGCAACTGATAAACAAATAGAAAAAATGAGGTCAAATAATCTGCTGAAAAACTCCTGACATTCTTCCCTGCTTTGCTCTAAGCCCCCCGCCTGGCAGGCCACTCCTGCCCTCTGGCACTCTGCTCTTCTGGGACTGACAAGCTGCAGGTAAAATCTGATGACTGACATTTTGGGCTCTGACCTCGTAGCATAAATTCCTCCTCATTAAAACCGACACCACTGTACAGTCGGCTACTCTGTCACCACTGAGGAAGCATTTCTCCCTGGTCCATCACACATTAAATAGTTCCAGCCAGGGCGTCCTTAGAAAGAAAAAACTCCCCACAACGTATTTTCATAACACTTTTCTACCAAGCTGCTTTAGACAGAGCTCACGTCTGCCTTGCCCACGCGGTGAAATGACAGTTCTACTGCCTTAGGAACGTTGTGCACCTCTGCAGCAGGATAAATGCTGGCAGGGTTTCTCTGTTCCTTAGGGCTAATGCACCTGCCAACATGCAAAATGAAATGTTCATACCTTTATTTATTTGGCAGTCTATTATTTCTTTATGTAAACTAACTAAAGGAACTAAATAACCTTAAGTCTCTTGTAACTGTAAAATTTTAATCCTAAAAAGCCGTTAAGATTTCAGAACAACTTACCTTATACAAGTAAAGCCAATTCCATGCAAAACTGATGAGAAAACTTATTAATAAAACACGTTTTAGCTGAACAAACCAATGAATGCGTGTCCAGAGCTCTGTAGCTATTACAATTACAATGCACACTAAGCACAAGAGTATCTGAAAAAGAAAACAGGAAAAAATTATGATCCAGATTTGGAATTTTCTAAGCTTACTGCCAGTACACACGAAGGAACTTCCAACTTTTGTTTTCAGTAGCAGCATTCACAATAGAAAAGTCGAGGGAATTTTTCCTTGCTTTCACAGCATATCTGCAGCAGTACAAGGCAGAAAAGTTTCGTGGTATTACTAGTAGTCACTCCTATCACAGCCTGACATTGCAGTTCCTAACTTCTTTCTTGTGATATTTAGTTATTTCTTCCTTACAATATTTATTGCGTTATCTACCCATAATTTGAAATTACAAAATTGGTGTAATTCAGTGCTTGACTAGTACGTGCCTGGTAGGAAACAGAACCACTGCTGCCAAGTCCTGTAATTTGGTTAAGAGATGAAGTTTCAGTTTGGGTAACAGCAGCAAGACTTCAGAGAAGCACTTCACACTCTCTTTCCATCCAAGGACCCCTAACAGCAAGGTTATGCTATTGACAGCTTGCTTGTTCCATTCGACTTCCACAGACCCCCTCAAAACTACACATGCTACTTTCAAGACCCTGTCAGCACAAAATGCTAACATATTCTTCATTGTAAAGATCTATTCAGAGAGATTCAGCTTATTAGAGATCTTGAGCTTAGCATTTCCTAATTCCAGTTAGAGAACATGACATTTTCACATAGTCATGCTCTCCTCTCCAACAATTTTTTTTTCCACAAAATCCTCTGACCTGTAAGACCTCAAATATATGCGTGTCTCAATATAAATATATTCCAACTCCCTCAGAAGCCAACAGTTTCAGCATCTATTTCAACAAGAGACAAATATGGAAAATTTACCATGCACGAGCTGTCAGTTTAAGTAATAGGAAAGCACTAGAGTCTAACAAGTCATGCAACACAGATATAAAAGACAGGAAGAGAAAAGAGAAAGCATGCCAGAAAAAAACATATGAAAAGATGACCACAGGAATAAAAACCCTGAATTCTTACTTCAAGTGAATACACTGCTTCTACCTTCAGCAACCATGAAACAGGAAGAGTGGTTCACTGCAAGTACGATGGAAAGAACTGCTTTACGTGGAGCTAAGATGGTAATATTCATTAACCAGACTTGCACAAAGAAAATGGAGAAAACGGCAATTAAAAAACAACAACAACCTTTCTTCTTCTCTTACCAGAAACATATTATATAGATCAATTCCAAAAGTGTCTTCAAATCTCCAGCGCCAGGCTGTATAATCATGGTGCTTAAAATTGATCAAAATATCACTAAGTGCATCATCCACAGCACCTGATTGCCAAGTCTCCTCATTGAGAAACCTGAGGATCTCCAAATATGTCTGTCTCGTCAGGATGATCTCAGCATCGTAATGGACGTGGCCCACGTTTTCCTCAGGCTGAATTCAAAGCAAAGCAAAACAAGGGTGAAAAGCTGCTTATTTGGAAATAGAAGTACAGATGAAAAACTGTATCCCTGCACAAAAACCTTATTATGTACCAGCACCTTTTTGAAGCAGATTGCAGGAGGAAGACATGGGATGGGGAGCACACTATCATTCTATAACTTTTTTATTCGTTCTTCTAAACTATATGAAACACTAATTCAACTGGTTTGCACTCTTTCAGTTCTACTATCTTACCTGTTACTAAAATTTTAGAACCACGTAACACTGATAGAAGCTATTAAATACCGAAATAATACATTTTGCATTGCTAGGTATAATGTTCTTTGTTAAATATTAATTTTGCTTATTGCTAAAAATTTACTCCTCTACCTCTGAATAGAAAAAAAAAATCTCCGAAGACAATATAACAGAGAAAGTAAATGAGATGATTCTTATGTGCAAACTCCAATAAGCTGCTCTTCCTAGATGGTTCATGTGGTAGAGTCTAAGCCAAAGGCCTAAAAGGTCTACAGCGAGCCAACAAACAAAGCCTGGCTCTTTCAAGGTTAGTAACCATTAGCATGAACCGAACATACTATACAACTATTGCATCCCAGCAATAGATACGTAGACACGTCCTCTGAGTTCTCGT